TTCGGCTATTAGGTCTAGTTCCATGCTAAAGGCATCAAAATTTGTTTTATTGCCATCTATGTTCTGGAAAATCATGGAGCAGTTGCTTGCAAAACACGGTTTGATATGTGTGTTAAAGTCCTTAATTGTATAGGATCTACAGTTTTCCAAAACATCAGACATCTTTTGGAGACATGGGTCACAGTCATTAACTTCAGGATCGGTCATTACTTTAAAAGGATTATATTTTTTAGATATAGAATGTTTACAAACTTACAAGCATCGAGGAGACGGCGTACACTCATAAGTGACGCTTTTGCAGTCTGTAAGGATCCTCTCAGTACGATTGAAGACCACTAAAGCCATTTCAGTTATGTTAACAGAACGACACCACTCCAAGTAGCAAGATTCGAGGACATTAACACCAAAATTTTGTATTGTATTCAATTGTTGGGTGACACATTAACTTCATTTTAAAAACGGAGTGAACGATACATTCATACAAATTAAGTGATGCAATTGGCAGAGCATAGGAAAACAAATTTTTTTAGGAAAACAAATTTAAATTTTGGTATTTATTAATAACAATCAAAACATATCATATCATAAAAATAAAGCCGCGCGTTGGTTGACTGCCTCAGTAAGGTGAATAATTTAAGCTTGAAGGTGCCCTGCGAATTTACAGAACCTTATGCGGCGATCACATATTCATGAGGACCTGTGAGCGCCAAAATTAATTTAAAGTTTCTAGAAATCATACATCACTACGAGTTACTCATGCTTTTGGATTATAAGAGTGCGGATTGTCAGGTATTTCATTCATTCATACTTAATCGGTTTAAAGCTGTATATTTAGAACTCACTATTGTTTAAACTACGAAAGCAGAACGTAGATAATGGACAATATACCGACGACAATACCAAGGACCCGAGTGCCACATTGACTTTTCCGGATCCGTTTTTACCGAAGGCTTATCCACCAGTTACTCATGCTGCATGTATAGTCTGATAATATTTTGTCTTATCTCTAGCAAGCATTCTGCAAATTGAAGTGTCGTATTTACACGGGCTTAACAGAAATATATACCATTGCTACCGATATTATTTGAAATCTCAATAATATGTCCCAAAACGAATATCACGTGCTGCTCGGAATGTCCAAGCTATGTAGGTGTAATACAAAAAATAAAGATGGAATGAGATAAAATTGGATTCGAATCCAATTTCTTCTTGCAACAGCTTGCTCAAAAGCTATTTTCGTAGTTGAGTGTGTTAACATAGAGGCTAAAGAGGATTTTATTTGCTGACGACACTAACCTATTCGTTTCTGCAGACTCGAAAAAAGACGTTTATAATGTAGCTAACGATATTCTTTCGTCTATTTCTAGATACATGAAATGTAATCTACTACATATTAACGCTAAGAAGAGCTGTTATATGTATTTCTCCCCAAACAAACGTGTAAATGAATCGTCTACATGCAGTACACCCGATGATTTAAATCTCTCCATAGACGGCTCCATAATAATACGTGTTAAAACAACTAAGTTTCTAGGCGTGCTGATTGATGATAAACTGAACTGGAAACCTCACATCGAATCACTAAATAAGAAACTAAGAAGTGCTTGTGGACGTATTTACCGCATAAAAAACTGTCTACCTATAAAACTGCACAAGCAGATATACCACACACTATTTGAATCACACCTTACGTTCACCATCTCAGTATGGGGTGGTGTCTCTAACCAAGTTATCAACCCTGTATTCTTAACACAGAAGAGATGTATTAGAATAATTTTTGGAGATGCAAACTCATACCAAAACAAATTCAAAACATGTGCTCGTTCTAGACCTATTCAATGTAAAATACTGGGTAAATATGAGTCTAATGTTAATAACTCTGTTAATCCACGTATTAAACCATGTGCAAAGTGTGTCCGCTCTAAATCGGTAGTTCATAATAAACTTGTTAGACCCTTATGTTGTCAAAAACTAGGAGCTTAATTCTATTCCAAGGAATCAACCAAACCATTATTTAACAGTCATAAACTCCTTACTGTTCATAATCTTTACAAACTTCGTACTATAACTGAACTTTTTTAAATAGTGAAATATAGGGTACCCATATCTCTCTACTCTTTACTTAACATGTCTGAACTGAGGGATGACCGTCTAATACCACCAAAGCCAAGCCATAACTTTATTTATAAATCTTCTTGGCTTTGGAATCAATTCAAGGACTCCAATCCACAGAATAAACCTGACTTTGTGAACACATCCTGTAACTCAATCAAATCAAGGCTAAACCGATCTCTTCTAGATGCCCAAAGCAGGTTCGATAATGAGTGGCATAATGACAACTTTAACAGTTTTGGACCATGCTAGATTATTGATAAAAACGTGGAATTAATGTAAACAAATACTTAATTACTTAAATATTGCCGTTTCCGTACGGCGCTATACGTAATATTATATGTTAAAAGCGCGCCGCAGCTACTCCCTACTTCAACATTTGCGCGGGTTTCTTAAGCGCGCACGTACGTTTATTCTTGGCCGTTAATCAGACCCATTACATAACGCTATAGGTGGCAGTGACTGTAATTTTCTTCAACAATTACTGAATTATCCATCCATAAAGTGATTTACAAAATGACACCTAAACCTCGTGTTTCGGTGTTCACTTAAACGGTACTTGGCGGCTGAACTGTGGTGTCTGACGTTTGCAGCTAGATCGGACTCTGCATGATATTGTATTAGCAAATTTGTATAGTGTATAATTGTTTAGTGTTTATGATACTCTGCAACCTGGTAGCACGGCTGACACAAAAACAAAATGTTGGCCTGGCTTGTGCATAACCAAGTAAATAACACGCACTCCGATAAAAGCCGTCTGGAGAAACTCCGCAAAATGTTCATTGTAGTCAACGGGCACAAAGAAGCACTACTAGCAATTGTGTCCTTTACCCTCCTACATAATTTGAACATTTTTGTGGCTAACTCATTGAACAACATCTGAATTAAAATGTGTCTAGTATTAAAAGATTCAGTAAGTAATTTTTTCATGTACGCTGTACACTGTAGTTAGTAAATGCAAATCAAACTTTTTCGATCAGCCGCGCGCTGAACCAGTGTTGCACTAGGTAAAAATTGTGTATATTTTGTTCATTTTTGAGTGTAAATTAATTTATTAATTTATCACAAATTATTTTATTATAATATAACCACTTATGTGAAATGGTTATTTTGACTTTAAATATTTGAACTAAATATGAATTGATTGTGGGTATAAAATAAAATTTGTTTTACTAATTTGTTTTACTATCACTTCTGCAGAGATTTGATTTGCATTACAATTGCTGGCTAAAAGTCGGGGAAACCCTTAATTTGTGTAGCAGTGAAGCTTAATGACATGTTATTAATACTATTTTTATTAGATCTAGGAAGAAAAGCATGGCCAATAGTTACCATATCAATATGATTTAAGAGTAACCAATCTGCTAATTGATGCAATGTCCGAGAAGAAAGCAAGAAACTTTTTTCCTTTCAATGTCATTGATAGACTTAAGGAGGAAAAACGATCCAAGGAGAACAGCAAAAAGATAGACCTGGAACTAAAAAGGGAATATCAAAGAAAGAGAAGCAATTGGAATGTTAAGACCATTGTTACAGGTAATAGAGGTTCTGGAAAATCATCTCTCATTGAACAATTTAAACTTCAGAAAATATTCACTGCAGAGTTGGATGAGGCTAAAGTCGCTATGATGCGTATAAGATCTTGTTGCATTGAGCTGATATTGAACACATACAGTTGTTACTGTTCTTACACTAAGGTACTGTCAAATTTTACCTGTTCTGACAGTTCAAAATTTGATGAATATCAAGAGCTTATGAGAAATGTCTTAAATGAAATCAACGGAATGGATCTAACTCCAATTTCTGATGAAAGCAAAGATGAAAAGACTGAGTTGGAGAGATATCTTTTGGAGAATTTCAGAAGAATTCTTAACCCTGAATATACTATAAATTTGGAAGATTTAGTTGTCTGGAAAAAATCCTGTTTTAACAACAATTTTGAGAAAGATTTGGTAAGATTGCAACATACTGAAAATTCTAGACTGTTCTGTAATCTTGACATCACCCATTTTCGGAAACCTATTTCTGGTAAATTACTTACTTCTCACTTTGAAAATACAGAAGTAGTTTTATTTTGCTTTTCGTTACAAAACTTTTGCCAGCTGGAAGAAAGCATCAAATATTTTAAACTCTTGGTAGAATTACCAAGTTTTTCCAATTCTGATTTTATCTTACTGTTAACGAAGAGAGATATATTAAAAGCAATGTTTGAAGAGATGCAGTTGTCCAAAGAACTTCTTGACTTTCTTAACAACCACCAAATAGAATCACATGGACAAGATGAATGTTGCGAGTACATCTATTCCAGATTCAACAAAACCTTGCAAGAGACCGCTGATTGCAAGTTGTGCAAGAGTTTATATCATTATAACGTCAACTGTGTTGACTATGAAGATATGAATAAAATAAGTAATGCAATTTCAAAATTAATAGTTGAGATATCGGTATCGTGCAAGTGTTGTTGTTGCAAGTGTAATCATGGCAAGGGATCATTAATGTGACTACCTTCTTTTATATAATTTTAGCTGAACCAAGGTTTTGTCATTTCTCATTATTCACGAGCCTCTGTCTCAGGCGAGGGCTTTGTTGAGCACATCAGTTAGTCAACCAATAATACTTTTGCCAAAATATTGTTTTAAAATACGATTTTATTTTATTTTACCATTTCACTATTATCGATTATTATCGATCGTGTTTTTTTTGAAACAATACATTTTGATTCTGGTGGGTAGTTGAGGCATATCGTTACTGTGAAATAAACGTTACTGTGAAATAAACTATTTATTAGCTGACTTTTGGGGTCAACTATCTTTCATATTGATTGAAAGTTATCAATTAAAATAACAGAATGATGTGTAAAAAACGTTTAATCCTTCCAATTCCTGTCTAGCATCAGCAACAGCCGATACATGTGAAGTGTTGAGGCCGGGATGATAGTTCAACTATCATTGATTCTGGTGGCTTCTCTGTTCAGTAAGTCTAATCTACTTTACATTTATATTCTCACAAGATACATTATAATATAGCGATTTCCTTGATGTTAAAAGTTATTTGTGTGGTAAATTTACGCTAACTCCTGTACAGTGAAGTTGCTGTTATGTCAACCTCACCCGGAAATTGGGCTCAATTAGTAATCTGCGCCTTTACAATGATTGGCATAATACCTATTACACTGTTACTAAGATTGTCAAGTAATTTTCTGCAAAGTTACAAAGAATGCAGTCGGGGATGTAATTGATTAGTGGTCACACTGGATTGGGTTTCGTCCTAACTCTGCCCTAATGACTTAATTAGATTGATTAAAACGATTAAATCATTGTCGAACATAATTCATGAATGAATACTGTAGTCAAACACAATGAACTCATCATTACAGTACAAGATAATTATATGAATATGATCTTACTATTTCTACCCGAATTTATTCGGTATACTGATGAGCTCGTGGTTACCAAACATATTTCATACCACAACTCCACAACAGTAGATACAGCTCCATACGCTTCTAACTAGCAAAGCTGCCTCTATCCCTATCTCTTAATTTATACAATTAGAATCCTGAGGCAGTTTTAAACTTACTCCGTTACAACAACGAACTTTACAGATGCTATAAGAAGTTGCAGTAACGGCACGATAGCGAATGGTAGGTTGGCAAACTACAAGGTAGACAGTGAAGAGGGAGACAGCGCCTCGTTGGTCTGCAGTGATGGGTATACCACGTACAACTCACATCTTGTATGTGGTGAGGATAACACTTGGCTCCCCACTCCTATCTGTCACAAAGGTTAGTTTTGGAGAAATACCATCTGTCACAAAGGTTAGTTTTGGAGAAATGCTATAATTTATAATCACCCGTTTTCAGGAGAACTTACTTTAATTTTGCTGTTTACCGTCTGTTTTATGGTTAAAGAAAGAGCGAGCTCAAATAACTCACTTCAATTTCAGTGTTCGTCAGATTTAACAAGACCTCTATGATAAAGTATGTGTATCCTACCCCTTACGATTCAGTAGACAGCTCCGTTTCCTTCTCCTTCTCTACTCCTCCCCTTCAAAGGTACAGCTGTGAAATTAGATTAAAATAAATTTTGATTGCAACCATACAGATGCAGCAAATTTACATGTAATATATGTGCGATGGTATTGGTCATCATGCCACTAGTCAAAACATCGTGTTAATTGTGTTTAATACTAGTTCCACTGATCCTGGCACTGTGAAAGCTGAAAATGCCCTAAAATTGTACGCTAATAGACTTCTCCAACTCACTCTAGGGGCCCTCAATATCAAACTATCAAATAAAGCACTCTGTGTTTTTCAACTGCTTCATTATACAACTGAACATTACAGGAATTAAATGCGCCATAGATTTAAATTGAAATTAGGCATAAGATAAGCAGCTCTAAAACCGTTTTTATTTGAAAATTCAATTAATTATTATAATATAATATATATATTATTATATAATATATGAAAATGAAGCGTTACATTTCAGCCATGCAAAATTACACTGTCATAATGTCAGTGACATTATATTGATGTACAACCAATTAAATGAAAAAAATGGTATTGCAATATAAGTTGAACTGTGCATACTGTGTGGCCGGATGACAACTAACTAATCTAGAAAAATAAACTTGATTATATCTTACTATATATAAAGCGAGACGATATATATATATAATAATATTATATGTGTTTATCCGTGCCATTTTACTGACACCACGGCATCAACTTTAACGCGACTTTCCGCAAAAACCGTAAAAGATATACAACTGAAACTTTTTTGACTGAGTCAAATGCTTTTATGTTTTTCAAATCAGCATGAAAAAATAAAAAATTGGCCAAGGAATAAGAATTTTAGTGCCCAAAATTTGGACCCCCAAGTGGCATGGTGTCAAAAACGCGAATTAAATAGGTAATAATTATTTTAGTCTCTTGAGTCTTGACACCACTTTAGAGAAAGACGGGTTCCTGCTAGTAATAATTAATTCAGCTGAACCAACACAAAGCCACATTAACTTTAGGTCCATTACAAAGCTGCACTTACTAAATTACATTCCCTTGCGGCTTACTTATCTAATTAAGGTTCTTGATACCTTTGCTGAATTTGCTGTCTGCCTCGTAACAGTTCTAAAATTAGATTGCCTGAAGGAGATTGGAAGTTTGTGTTTTCACAAGTCCCTCCGCTTCCAAGGCATATTTATTTATGTCATAGAAATAGCTGATTTATAAGACTATAACGCATATAATAATATAATGTTCCAAGTTTGAACTAAATTGAAACCCGGATCCATGCATGATGGCCATTTTTTCGGACCACAATCAGTGGTTTTTACAGCCAAATATGAAGTATACATAGTAGAGCAACGTCAACTGTATTTTATATTGCATTTATAATTTCAGTAAGTCTTTTAGGAATTGCTGTAACAGACTACAGCAGTGTTACATATTATATTATATATTATGAGTTGTGTGGTTTTATTGACATTTTAAAACTTTTGCTTTAAATCTAATTTGTATCATTTTACAAAGTCGTTACCAGGCCCATTTGTGTGAGTGTATTTGTTTATGTAACTAAACAAACAAACAAACAACTGCTAATACTTTGCTGGTCATGTATTTGCTAATTATACCACAAAATTTCAGTCAGTTTTTCAACCGTAAAAATTACATCTCCAGGTATTTGAAGAAGATTGTTTCTGGAGAAAAACTTGAAACATTCAGCATCTTTAAATAAGCAAAATTCAGAGACTTCTTGAGATTTTGAGTTTTTAAATATTCATCACACTCAAGGAAATGTCCAGTGTGAGTTATTAACATGTCAAAAGAACGCGTAATAAAAACGATCTTTCGCCGCTAGTCGTTAATACTCAATGAACGTTACTTCACTAAACAATAACTGCTGAAATGGCTCCACAATTCTCTGAGCTCAACTCGTTGTATTTTGAAGGGTTTAGTAAATCTATCGACGTTTTTGCCACACAACTCAAAACATCACGAGAAACAGCTCAAGACCAGTGGGTTTATAATATTATGTCAAATCCTTTTATGTTACAGTGTTTATTAACAGGAAGCAGCGATGTAATAGCTCAGCCAATCTATTTAACGTTGCTTTGTGGTGACACGGGGGGGGGGGGGGGGGGGGGGATCATACACTTAGTACCGGACATGACGTTGGTGGGTGGGTCATTTTTTCTCCCAAAAACACAGTTAGTACATGGTACTAACTGGTGGGTCTACTGCCCATTTTCCAGAAAAACAGTTAGTACATGGTACTAAGGGGTTCATTTTTTGGGTGTCCAACCCCAAAAAAACCATTTTACCTCAAATTTCAATTTTGGGAATGGGTTTTGAGGTTTTTAAAAGTTTTTTTTGGGTTTTTTGTAATTTTAAAATTTTTTGTGTAACTTTTTATCTAATTTGACTACATTGAAAACAAAACCCCTACTAAATAGTGGGTATAATTTTCCCATTTCCAATGTTTAATGAGCTGTTTAAAGCAATTTATGGGTGGGTATCTTATTCTATATACCAAAAAACAGTTAACCACGATTTTTCGACAGTTAGTACCGCAAAAGGCGGCAAAAGGGGTGGGTGTCTTACGTATTATCCAAAAAAACAGTTAGTACCGCAAAGGGGGTGGGTGGGTCTAGTGAAAAATATCCAAAACTACACTTAGTCGACGTGATGTCCGGCACTTGGTACCTGATCCCCCAAGGTAAAATCACAAACATCTAATTTTAGAAATGTTATGAAGCAGCAGTATGACGATAATGCTGATGAAAATCTCAAATATAATCTACATATTGTCACATATTACCAACAATCTCAGTTACTTGGGTTTTAATCGGGTTTTAATCGACACAATTTTGCTTGTCTTACTATTTACCAAATTTGAATTAATCTACAACTGAATCCATGCATGGTGGCATACTATTTGAAAATACAGCGGAATATTTTCAGTACGGGTGTGCTGGTACGACTAACCAGTAAGAAGCTCTCAGATGGATCACGTGACACTCTCACAGTTGAGTTAGTCGGCGGGTTCCTCGCAACTACCATGCAACTCTCCAGTAAGTTTTATCGTACTTTAAGTTAATGAAAATTTGCGATCATTTTGATTTTTATTGTCTGAGCTTGAGTGTTGAGTCTCAAATGTAAGGAATTTCGCTATTCGCCATTTATCCCGGAAATATTCGATTTTCGCCATAAAATCTTGGTGAAAATGGAATTAGTCGTTGTTAGCATTGTTACTATTTACCTGCGTCATGAAAATGAAGCGAAAATAGGGAACGTGCCGAAAAAATTGTCTTACTTTTCAGTTTCTCTATTTTCACCAATTATCCGACAAACTGTAAAAAGTAAATGTTGAAAATGGGAAGTGGTAATAATCCAATTTATTCGTCGTGTTAATTCGTCCGACAGTCAGCTGCTAGTAGAAATAATCATAATTTAAATTACGTTACATAATATGCGGCTAATAAAAGAGTTATAATTAGTCCAAAAATCTACAAATCTGTGCAAACAACAATGACGTTTTAGAAGAGCCAGAGAAATCAAATCAGTCAGAATCTAAAGCAGAGTATTACGTGAAAACATTAGAGGATATGATCAATGATTTACAGGCAGATGAGGAACAAAAGGTTTAACTATTTCAGATTAAATAATTATATTTTTAAAATAAAAGAATGTATTTTCAAATAAGATCAAGATCTGTTTAATGTTAGTAGGACTAGTTAATAATTCTTATGTTTCTCGCTCCAAATAAGTCGTTTTATCTTATGTGCTTAACTTTAAAAGGATTGATTACTGACCAGTACAGTCTATTTCCTTCCTTGTAGCCTGATCTTAATTAATAAGGTTGAAAAACAGGAGGAGATTCTAAATGTCTTATCAGATTTAGCACGTGAGACTCAGCGACAACAAAAGAGATTGGCAGTTTTAGAATCAGACTTTGAAACAGAATTCAGGCCAAGTACGTCTTTATTTTTGACTGTACTTAGAATATATTATTCGCTAATATAGTTCCAGGCTGAGTTTCAGGTTCTGACACAATATCAGAAACATAGATTAACATAATATAAGATACATAGGTTAACTTTAACCCTTGATGAAGCCCAAGTAAATGTGATAATAGGTTAACTTTAACCCTTGATGAAGCCCAAGTAAATGTGATAATAGGTTAACTTTAACCCTTGATGAAGCCCAAGTAAATGTGATAATAGGTTAACTTTAACCCTTGATGAAGCCCAAGTAAACTAGGTAACCAGGTGGCAGGTAACCAGGTAACCAGGTAACCAGGTAACCAAGTAAATGTGATAATAGCAGAACCCCTCTAACTCCCCAATCGCTCAGTGCCCGTTACAGTCCGGCTCAGTCAACGTATTTCTCATAACATTTCACAGGAAACGCTCTGGCTGTGTTCCTGTAAGAGACACTTCTGACTCGCCTTGTCGCATTATTTACTTTACTTCTGCTACAGACACTAATTATTCAGTGCAGTCTCAGTATCTTTTTATAGGCTCTGAAGATCTGGTGTTGTTTAAAGTTGTACCTGACAATGTCTACCATGGAGAATAAGACGACCAGTATAATTTAGTGCTGGATTAGTTATGCCTGGTTTTAATCTTAAACAAGATTTACAGCTGAGTTGGTGCTCTTGTAGTTATGTAGTCTGTGTTACAGCTGAGTTGGTGCTCTTGTAGTTATGTAGTCTGTGTTACAGCTGAGTTGGTGCTCTTGTAGTTATGTAGTCTGTGTGCTGTTTACTTTTGTACAAATACCGTTCTACTGCTGTAATGGTTTTAAGTTTATATATTGGCTGCAAAACGTCCCATTAAAACATTTACTCGTTACCATGACCACGAATTTGTCTCTGAACATAAGTATAAGTCAACATGATATTGCCGCTTACCACTTTTATCAAAGCTACCCTTGTGCGCAACATGTCCAGACAAAAAGCTAAAAAGGCACACCGCGGTTTCCTGTGAGTGCTACAGTAATGATATTTAAAGTAGCACAGTTCACTAGTTCAGGCTGATATTTCAAAGAGCACTGTGTTTAAAGTGAAGAGGTTTGATACGAACTGTACACTTGTGGCAGTTGGAAATAAATATTGACCAGCACCATCACTGCAGAATGCAGATCTCCGCAAGCAATCACACAGTTTCTACCGTCTAGACAACTGGTGCACGTGCATTTTAAATTAGATGGTTGGAAAATCTGGTGGACAGCCGCCAACCAACTCTTATACTTTTGTAGCAGACTAAACTCTTTTAGGGGGGGTGACATGTCTCCAATAAACTAAACTCTTATAACAGACAACTGTCCCAGTTGTTCGTAACTTTGTTCGTTCCCTTTGATCATTTTCACTCTGATAACACAGGGAATAATGAACTCGCACTTTGTAAATTTATACCGGAAACCTGTTTGATAAACCATGCCTAGAAGGATTTAATGGTAACCATGGTAACTATAGCTGGGACCTAGAAGGATTTCATTATCTGATAAAGAATTAGATTTAGACACAAAAAATTGGCATAAATTTTCCCCTAAGTCATGCGCTACTGTCACTAAGTAAACGTAAGACTAAGTTTTGTCAGGAAATTAAATTAAATTTGTGACCTTGTCTACCCTTTATCAAACATGATCTTTAGAATTTCTGGGTGCAAAAATTGATACCGTGAGAAATTATTAGGCTCCGGCATAATTCATTTTGTTTTTCGAATAGATTTTTTAGAAATAATTTGGTGCAGTTACATTAAGTACGGTTATTTGTATGAAAAATTATTTACTCTATGTTAAAATGACTGTTATTCAATGGAATGGAATGGTTGGTTTTAATGGTGCGGATGTTTAAGCAATTTTCGTTTTCTTCCATCTAATCATAAAACCGAAATAATATAATAATTTTAATTCATCTGGCCATAATTTAAGGAGAAAGTTGGAACGTTTTCTAACGTAAATAAATAGTGTCACCCAGAATACCCGAAATTAGCCGAAATGCCGCAAACTTGTCAGTTTATTGGCAGGAACACTTGTGACAATTCTATTAAGATGTTTCGAATTCCAAAAGATTCATCCCGTCATTCTTTGGTAAATCTTAGCTCGGATGAGTTACATACTTCAATCATCCAAATTATAAACTCAATGAACCACAGGAAAATGGGGGTGCTTACCAATTTTCCCTGATAAACTATATTTACTGTCAAATTGACGAATTTGTATTTTCCCACCAGTATTTTAGAGCATTTCTATGGCATCAGGCATTATTGAAGATACAAAATGTATTTTCTGATTCTACACTTGTTGGTGAGATTTTCAATCCCCAATGTCTACAACATTCGTCGGGGCAAAGATACAATACGATCGAAGCAGCCCAGAAATTAGTATCTAAAATACCTTTCAACCCTTTTTTCTGATATGTACGGGTGTGTCCAATTACTGGTATCTTTATATTGCCAGCAAGTTGTACACAAGGATTTCCCTATTTTCTAATTAACTTGGTATAACACATTATATATTGCTTCTCGCTAAATTACAACACCCCACTTTACTGTTGCTGAAATGGCGCCAGTGCCGCGCTGCTACACTCACTTTAGTTTGATTGAATTACAGATGAATGTTACAAATACCGATGGTTTGTAAATTTCGAACATTACATGATGAAAATAGCGTGTAGTTCACAAATACCGGACACTTGGAGACGCTATAAGATTGCAGAATTCTCGTAAACTTGGTGTTTTTAACAACCTCAAGACGACTGTGATTATAATTAAGTAACGAAAGTTTAAAACAAATGGGCAATGCTGTGACTTTTAGGATAGTCATTGTTTGTCAAACTGAACATTGTAACTCATAAGCCGAGTAACTCATAACATCGTAACTGCTGATAGTAAATTGTACATTCTTCCATATATCTCGGACTCAGATAATTTAAATTCCACAGAACGAGATAAGTTCATTCCTAGAAGATAATGAACACTTGTTGACACTACTCCGTGTGGTATGACGTAACATACTGCAGACAATGAACTTGCCACAGCGCTGTGTGATTACAGTTCTTTGTCCAGGTTATATGTAAATGTTAATAAACATACAGTACTCAGTCCTCACTATCACACTGTATTAGTAGTATTATCTGGAGTGGAAACAGCTGGTGTACTTCCTCAAATATTTGTACTTCCTGGAGTACTTCACAGCTATTTCATACGGACAATAGCCCAATTGGATAACTATTTTCTGACAACAATTGTACTACAGTTTCATGTGAAGTGGAGATTTTAACAATGAATACTTCGATATGCTTTTTTTTAAAGTGTGTTCGAAGATTACAATATTATTTTAATCACATGGTAGTCATTACAACTAGAATTAAAGTAGCACCACAAATAACAAGAATTGCGCCCGTTGTTTCATTTTGGCGGACGCTAGATTTCCATTTCACTATAACTATTAATATAAGCTCTAATCAGCTCACCTTATAATAATAATATTGAAACATCAGTAGACTACGTGTGCCACATTCAAGTTGGGCTTATTACAAAATACTATACATTACTAGTATACATTAAAATACGCTCGTGCCGCGCATTCATTGACCACAGACTAGCTATACACCACATCTCCGCAAGCAATCCCCGTGCGCGTGCGCGCGGCAAGTTGACATGGTAACGAACGGAAGCAAGTAAGGAACACGACATATATTTGACCCACCTACCGCTATCTCCAAAATCCACGTTTTTCTGCAAAAACGTCCATTCGTAACCTTTCACTATTGCCTTTTTTCAAAAGGGTGAAAAGGAAAAAATCCAGCCTGAGTTAATACTGGCCGACATAAACCATGTCTCATCTTGTCAGATTTAAAAACAAATCTCCATAAACAAACAAATAAAGGTAAATCACGCCTAAGATCAATATTTTTAAAGTTAAAGGAAAAGCGCGCTACAGATTATATAATTATGTTTGGGAAAATATTGTATGAAGTTTGTTCTCAGTTGTCCGTTATTTTTTGTGGCGACTTAGACCAATAATTAAATTTGATCAATAACTCTTAAACAAGGACTAAGAAGAA